GTCAAAAAATCCAATGGATTTGTTCGATCTCTGAAATCCTTTTGGATATCCTATTTTGATCTCTTGAACATTGCAAGCGACATTTTAGCAACTAAGAGAGAGATAGGGGTGCCCTTGACCACTCTTAGAATTTTTTGTTAAGTTTTTAGTAAAAAAAGAATGCTGATACACTTAAAATGTGCTAAGAGTAATCAAAGACGATCTTATGTTGATTATCGACATTCGAGATACCAAGTCGATACGATTAAAACTAAGAGAGCGTTCCGAGAAGGATAAAGAGTACTCTTAGGGTTCCGAGTGCAACATGAATTTTAAGGGCTGTCAATCATTCTAAGATTACTTCAAGATACCCTCTTGGCAAATAAGATGATCTTAAGATGGTCTTAAGCACTATGATTGCTTCATGACACCGGCCCCAGGTTCGTGATGTAATAAAGGTCTTAAATATTATGGAGACATAGTTCTACTTATCTTAAGAATTACAGTATATTTTATCATTCAATGGCTGTACCAAAAACTACAAAATACTTCCGCGCTTCATACAAAATGTGCTTCGGTCAACGCTTTTACACCTAAGAAGAAGCATTCAATTCTTAGATAATTACAATACATAGAAGCTGCAAACGATTCCGTAATTTTGCTTAGCTGAGGCATTCGTAAAGGTAAATTTTTTCCCGTATAAAATGCAAAATCCATTACTGGATGTGCTATTCGTGACAACATCAAAACAATGCACAGGAAAAACAATCAAAAGTATTGATTTAACTCGTAATTTCGTGAGTGTAGCATCAAGGTTTCTTCTTATAATGCCAAAGCGTTGAAAGTGCGCACACGTTTAGTATAAGCGCTTCGCGCTTCATGTAAAATATGCTTCGGTCAACGTTTTTACAATCCAATAAAACCAACAAAAAGCAGCGTTTAATTCTTAAATGATGGACATTTGATATGACGTACTTTAATTTTAAAACGTAGAAAGAACATCGAACTTTTGTATGTTTTAACATGCATGGTCGGTACATACACATTTCTACTGCGTCTAAAACACTTCATGTTGTCATTATTAATAAAACATAGTAAGAGAGACTAAGTGATATCTGAGACATATCGTGGTGTGAATCTTATAGTGTTATATGTCCACTTTTAATAAAAAGGAAGATAGCTATATATTTGAGATCCAAGTACAGTCTAGTATCTCATTGTACAACTATAATACGATATTTCTACAGTCTAAGAGTTTTTGTCAGAACTATACTGTTCTATCTCCACACTCCCATTGAATTATAATGGCTTATTCATCTTTTTAGTTCAGAGAAAAATATTTTTATAGTGTTGTATCTCCACTATTTCTCATGTATTTTTTTATGTTAAATAATTGTTATCAGAATTATCTTTAGTAGTACTATGATTAAATGGTTTGCATGGTTTGAACTCAATTTATGAGTAATTCTTAGTAAATCTAGCCATACAGAATCGGGGATATTACAAAGTTAAAAAATCCACGGTCTATCTCCAATGGAAATATAAGGATAAATTTCTAAAACTACATTGTTTGTAGTGAAATATTTTATCTCCAAAAAGGAGGATGCTTTTTTTATCTAAAAAAGAACAATCTAACAAAGAGTTACTCTTCATGTACGTAGATACGATTCCAACATAACTGTTTACAAATGTATGTCTCAGTCAAATATTTATGATATTGAGCTTTTAACTAAGATGTTTACCACTATTACCAAATGGGAAATATATCATTTTAAGATTCACACGACAATATGTCTCTGACTATTTTTCGTACATTGCCGATTTCACGTCACTTTGCCTTGCAATCCCGGGTTCGTTTAGGGATAGACAATTTTTTTTTCTGTACTAAATGTATTATAAATATAATTGTAGCCATATTTAGCTTCAGTATTTAAACAGTATTGGATCAATGTCAGAAAAATATCATTTTATTTGTTTTTGTTTGTATTCGGCACAAAACTGTTAAAGGGCTCGGTAAACCTCGTCCTTCCCCAGTTTCTATGCCTGATACAAACAAGTGAATATTTGTCTGACATTGACCTAATATTTTGTAGTTTTTTATTATATAAAAGTGATTAAATCTAGTTAAACTCGTAAAAATAAGAAGTTTGTAAAAAAAAAACCATCCACTCCTGTTCAATTTTAATGTTTTAAAATAATTCAATACAATCATCTTGTGTCGATGATCTTAAAATTACATGTATATATGCATGTAATATATAACATAATTTAGTACGAATTGATACCGGAAGTGATACGTTATTTGTTTTTAATATCAATTTGTTCGAATTATAAGATTACTTTTCAAACGGTTACCTTTAATTTGTCTTTTGTTTGTCTGGGTAGTGTATTGTGTTGAATTAATTATACCAACTATGTTTCATCATAGTAGATCAATTGATTTGGGAATGTATTGACATTTTTATAGAGCGGGTCATGATACCCATTGAATAAGAAGACAAAGAATACATACAACGGCTAATTAAATGCTTATATAACCACTAGCAGATATGCACGTACATGTTAGACTGTTATTGTACTTTTACGTTTGATGTTGATTGTTTGAAGTGCAATAAATCAACTTTAGAAATTGGAAATCTAAATCATTTGTTACGAAAGAGGAAAGGCTAATTAAACATACAATCACCTGCATTTCTTTATTTTTTTGAGTGGCTCAGTTATTATTTTTCCATGTAGTGTTTTGTATACTCGTATGTTGGTTATCTTTTCTTCTTTTTTGTTTTTGTCTCGCCTGCGACAATAGTGTTGTTTTTCCGGCGTCGTCTTCAACAATTGTTTTCTGATTAAATCAGTTTGATGGGAACTACTTGTGAAATATCAATGATATTTTATATTAAGCTGCATTACTATCAGTACATATCAAAATGTCGACCTCTAGGTCAAGGTCCAGCAACTTTGAATTATTAAGCAATGTTGCTGTCCATTAGATTGTCTATTTCTGAATTTTCAACAGTTTATCGTTTAAGTCATAGTTTTGTTAGTTTTCTTCGACTTGTGTTTTTTTATTGTCCCTTTAGTATATGCCCCCTTTTTTTAAATGTGTAACACTATATGCTCAAGTCGATGAGGAATTATAAAAATTGAAATAAAAACACGTTTGATAATTTCATGCGTCCGAAGCGCTTTTCTGGATTTACCTTCATCAGGAACGCTCAAAGCCAAACCAAAAGTGTATACGTATTGCCCGTGAACCTATAGCTAGATACGTTGATCCTAATCTGCACTATATGCATCGCATCCTGGTTTGATTGGTGTATCCTAAAAAAAAATATATATTTTAAGTTTTTAAGTTTATATTTTGTGATTATAATCAATTTTAAAGAGAAACGAGCAATATGCGTGCGTATAATATCCGTTTAAAAATTTTAAATATATATAGGGAAATATTGATGATAAGGTAGGTTCTCAAGTGCAAAATAGCTCTTCGTTTTAGCCTACCACACTAAGAGGAAACACAACTAATAATTACATCACTGTCGTCGGTAATGATACTTACATTTACATCCTGTGTTATTCACATTTGTTCGTTCTATTTTGAAACAAATGTGACAAGTGGGAACAGATTAAGAAAACAACGTAATGGAATCCCTAAAAAACTAACTAAAAGCATGGGTTAGATTAATTTTATTGGTTATTACTTTCAAATTGACAGTTGGTCAAATATAAAGAATAATTAAAGTTTACATTCTGCCATCCTGAATGCCAACATAGTGTTTATCAATCCAAAGAGTTGTGTACAGTTTTCAAACAGATTTTAATTCCATATATAAAAATAAACATAGTATAAGGCTCTTACTAAATATTTGAACGTCTATTTGAAATGTACAATGACACTTATAATTTAGGGTATTAGTTTTTTTGTACCTTTTCATGGCTCTGACTGACCTAAATAAACATTCGTACAATAACTTGCTTCTTCAGTAACTGTTTACAAAAGTTTCTTTTGATTCAAATAGTTTAAATTTAGAGTCTCCATGTAGACGTGTTCATCTAAACTATCACCTACATAATGAATTTAGCAAAAGTAATATAATTGATACAAACTACAGACTTATAATATTTTATATAATGAAGTAGCTTCTCAGTGAACAATTTACAGCAGCAGCTACTTCAATAGGAAAAGAACAAAGTTAACTTAACAAGGATCATTTTTTAATTTATCAACGTTTTTTAGCATGTCCTTTCAAACTAGGAAGCTATCATTCACACAGGTGGATAGTTTTAAAAGTTCGAATGAAAGTGTCAACACCAATGGGACATCTCGGTTATTTAGAGACATTTTTTTGTATTTACTTCCGCATTTTAAAAACTTTATCCTCTTAGACAAAGGTTACGTAATATGTTTTACATCACGCCTATTTGTCTGTGCATATGTCCTTGAGAACATACATCTATCCGTCCTAAAACTTTGCATACTTATTTCAAATGCAATAAGGAAGCATGCATTTAAAATTGCGGGAGATGGGCGGGGGCGTTGGGGGTGAAATTGATGTATTGAAGCTAACATAAATAGATGCACTTTTCAAAAGCGGTAATAGATACATTTTACAAAAACATAGTTTAAAAGAGGGACGAATTTCGTAAATTCATGCAATTTTGCTACTGGGCGGATGATGTCCTCGGGGACAAAATGTCCACCAGCAGAGACATCTAATTTAAATGTTACAATGCTTCAATACTGAACACAATGCGGTCTGCGATTTAAAATTGTTTATGGTCAACTGCTATACACACCGTCATTTAATCCAGTATACTATGATATGACCGAGTTACATGATTTATCCATCCGAATTTTGACAAATACAAACCTTACATATTAAACATACAGTACACGGGTCGTTTTCTCTGTTAAACACTAGTTAAAAAGATGACATTCAATTTTGTGAATTCTTTTAAAAACTTTCTTTACCAAGTTTACATTTAAATCTATAACTTTTGAACACATTAATAGGATACAATTTATATGTACAAAATATATGCCTGACTGCTCTAGGAGTACAAAGAACCAACTTAAGAAATCCAAATCGGTTATAAATACGGATTTGTAAGCATTATGGCTAGTACTTCCTGGTTAATTATATAGAACAGTGGACACAATGTGATGTTGTACATGTAATTGCTGCAATGAAGGTTAGTTTATTTTTTCTTTACTTCATGTAATACTTTTAGAAAAACAAAACGAAGAACCAAACAAAATGTATAGATGGTTGACAAAAACAATACAAACTTATACAAACAGTTACATTTTAAATCATCATTATAATATAATAAATAAGGAAATAACTAAGATTAAGTACTAAGAATTAAGAAATTATAGCGTGCATTTATTATTGCCATTTGGACATGAAAGACCAAAAAGTGAGAATGATTATTATGAAAGGAAAATCTGCAATCAAATATATTTGTCTGATTTCAGAAAGCGAGTTCTGATTATTGCAATACTCACCCAGTTGTGTTATTCATTTGAGTATTAGCAACTATAAAAACCTCTCAATAAGTTCAACCTTTCAGTATTCGCATACAATTTTATTAAAGATTTGAAGTTTGAATAAGTTCATATCACGATCATTATACATGTAAAATGTAGTACTAAGTTTCTCTGATTTTATCATTAGTGTTTAGATGGTTACGGAAGATACGGAATTTCTTGCTTATACGTTACACGATTTGGATGTATAATATCATTTTTATTAATAGTATGTGTTCATCTTGTTGAATTTATAAATACTAGTATTCTACATCGTCTACTGAGATGCCTAAATGACCATGCAAGCTATGTAATTTTCAAACTAAGACATAACATCAATTAACCCTTTCATGCATGCGTATCATAACCATAAAAATGGTAGTCTTTACTGGTAGGTACAGTTTCATTGCTTGATATATGTATCCTCTGCATGTTTCAATCAATCTTGACCAAGCGTTCCAGTGACATAAAATTTCTCTTTTGACATAAGTGACATATCAATGTAACTTATAAATCGTAATTCATAGAGATCTAAATTCTATTGATATGTGGTCCTTGGACAATGAAAATGAAACTGGGTTCAAAGGCAATGGTCTAGATCAGATTTTAAATTTAGCAAGTAGATTGTTATCGTCATTTTCAGAAACAGTTACAATAAACGACAAAAGGATGTTGCTTATTGGCTACGATATGTCGCAATTTCATTAAATTTGGTACAAAGTGCTTTGGTAACTTTGTGTTGGACTCTGTTTTTTCTTTTTATCTATTTGTAATCACAGAATAACTCATCGACCATACATATTATAGTCTTTTGATTTGAAGTCTAAGAATTGTGGCCTGCTAATGGAGGTCAATATTAAAGGTAAATTTGTCCTAGTGATCGGGGATAAACCGGAGAGGTCAGCAAAACACTCTCGACTAGGTGCGTCCCGTAATATTCGGGAACTCAGCTGATTTTGTCTACTGGGATTACAATCGTGACCATGTCGTGACAGAATCTGCAGTATCGGATAAAAATCGTAACAATCCTGCATCTGTTCACTGTTGGTTTACTATCTGATCTCTGTCGGAACTCATTTCGGAGAATCGGGACGCTGTCGGAACAGATTCTGTTGTTTGTTTTAGCATGCGAAAGTTACAAATTCGACGAGAATTAGATTAAGAACGGAATAATAGGGACGCTTCATGAACAATATCTTATTGTTGTCGTGATTGAATAAATGTTTTTACAAATTTTCAGTCACTAATCACAGGATCTTGATCCGACTCTTGACTAATTTTAATCGGGAAAAGTCCTATCAAGGACGACAATAAAAATTCTAGTGCGTGACAAAGGGTATATATAAGAAAATTTAAAGAAAATTATTCTCTATACTTTGTCCTTGCTATCATAGAAATAGACAAAACATAGCTTACCTTCATAAAATTGAATTATATGAGCTATATCTCCTCTTAATGCTGATTCTAATTTTCTGGCCTTTTTTGTAAAGAAAAACCGTTCTAATAATACGATGAAATTACATAGATGTATTTATTCAAATAAAAAGTTTTGTAAATGAATTGTATTCCGCCCTCAAAATGTTCTTATTTCATTACAAAGCCAGACAGATCGTTTTCAGCTAGTAGTATTCGACTAATCTCTTAACTCATTAATACAGCGGAGACGTAAATTTTACGTGAACATATTTTTTAAATGGTATTTTTCGTGATTTTAATAAATTTGAAAACTGAGATGTTATTTGAATAACTTTATTTAAAAAATAATTCACGTAAATTTCATGTTAATTTCACAAGAGTTTAACATGAGATACACGTCAAACTTGCGAAAAATCAGTTCACGTGAGTTTTATGTATAACTCGTTTGAGATGAAATTCATTTGAGTATTTGAAACCCTATGGGATTTTTTCCTAAAGGAGTAGGCCCAGTAAGACCCCTTTTTGGCCCCAAAATATAGCAGTTTTACAAAATTGTTAAAGTGTAAATTTTCAGCTATTTATTGGAAAGAAGAATAGTTCTGTTACATACATTTGGACTGTTTTTGACAATACAATGCACATGTATCGGGTACTATCATCGTTAAGTCATTCTAAATTACTGAAATCGTCAAAATTTTAGCATTTTGGTTAATTTTTAGACGGTTTCCGTCTGAAATGGAAGTGGCCGCATTTGTGTTCATTCTTAATATTTAAATGTAAGTTGTATTTGATGATAATACATAACATATATAAAGGGTGAGAATGAACACGGATGCAGCCACTTTCCTTTTTGACAAAAACCATCTGAAAAGTGACATATTATGGCATATTTGATAGATCTTTCATATTTAAGCTTGAATTTGAGCATCTTTAATGACTAAATCAGTTCAAATCTTTCACATTAACTAATTGAATCGACTGAAGTAGACACTTAAGTGTTTAAAAAGTGTCCAAAATCTTTCATCAGATGAACCTGAATTTTGAGGCCAAAATCGGCCCTTACCGGACCTACTCCTTTTCTTGTCATAGTAACCAAATTGACATGAATGATTTATGGGAGATTGAGAGACATTGCTGAAAAATAATATCTGATTAGCGAGTTCAATATAGTATAGTATTGATATTTTGCAAACCCTCTACAGACAATTCTAGTTTTATAATTCTGATTGAATGAAAAAAAAAACCCACCGGTACTCAAAAGGCAATCATTAATTCTTGCTAGCAAATTTCCAAAACTTTCTCCTGTGAAACTATATTGAAAATATTTGCTAAAGGTTCCCTTCATTCATAATTACATACACGTACAACAGCAGTATAACGTAATAAAATAATGAACGATACACACGTTAAATATATAATTGAATATTGGTTTAAACAATATTTTATTCGATAAGTCAAATCATGATATATAATATAATACAGTATAAACAATGGGATTCAGAAACAAGCAACATTGCTTATTTTAATCTGTCTCCAAAAGAATGTTGACATACAATATAATGAATACTTGGAGCATGCTCTGTCAATTGAAATATATTAAGAATAGTAAATACAAAAAAAGATTGACTATATAGTTTGAGAAAAAAGGGAGAAAAAAAAAACAAAAACAAAAAACAAAAAACAAGTGATTGAAATGAGCTAAATGAAATGCAAGGAAAACATATAAATGATGCTTTCATATTATGGTGTGAATCTTTTACTTTTCAATATGTATTTTTGTACCAATACAAAAAGAGTACAATTGTCTTCATCAGTTAAACAATCTGACCCAAAAAGCAAAATATTTACATCAATACGCTGCGGAAAATATGCAAGAGAATTCAGTAGCACTTGGCGTATGTTAGTATAGTAAGGACACGTTAATAAAAAATGAGAGCTTGTTTCTATAGCACCACAACGACAATTTGGCGAATCCACTAAATTACGTAAAAATAAATCGGAGTTTAAAGCACTAGAGTTCATTCGCAAGCGTGCATGGAGAATTTGTCCAATGCGATTTCCAACATAATAATGTGTGGGAACCTTCTTATTTTGTTTACAAATATGTTTTTTAAATAGAAAGAGAGAGTCGCACTGTCTTATATTAAAAGGTATCTTATTCCATAATTTCACGGTTGCAGGGAAAAAGTATTCTGAATATAAGCGAGTTCTTGTAATGATTTCTAAGATATTTTGACGTTGCCTTGTATTATGGTTATGCCTACTTTCTACTAAACCTGGTATTTGTTCACGGAGATAACTAGGTGTTTTGTCATATATAATTTTGTGCCAGAGTATCAATCTATGATTTTCTCTTCGTTCCGATAACTTTTCCCATTGAGTTTCGACATATAACTTACCAATATTCGTAAGTTTAGTCCCCCCTGTAACTATGCGTGCGGCATCTAGCTGGATATATTCAAGCCTTTGTATTAGGTTTACATTATGTGTGTCCCATACAACATCGGCGTATTCAAGAATTGGCCGTATAAAAGACATATATAGTTTTTCCAGAGTGAACCGATCGAAAACGTTTCTAACTTTTCGTAGAATATTAACCCTTAAATAAGATTTTTTCATTATGTATATTTAATTGAATATTATGCTGATTAAAAGAAACATTATCATATGCATAGTGTCATAAAGTATGAAATTCAATATAAGATACGTTGTTAAAAAATGTATAATGTTACAGGCATTTTCTAAATTTAGGCATTTTGTAAAATGACTGAATTTTCAGGCAATTTATGAAATCCCCAACCTTGACAGTCAATGTATAAAAAGACTAAAAATACCTAGTCATTTTGTAAAACGACTGAAATTTTAAATAAAATTCAACAACTTGCCTGTTTAGTTGTAGGTGATTTGTAGAAAAAGGATAATACGTAATATCTTGTAAAGAAAAAAAAGTAATGGTTCGGTTAAATTATATTTATTTTAAAATTAAAGCTTGGAAAATTTGTTTGTCTATTATTACACGAATTAGTTATTTTTAGTGAAACTACGTTAAATATGTACTTACTCTGTATTTCAGATAGAAATTTCATGATTTTCTTGTCATGATGGCAAGACCAATTGTTCTTACAATGGAATATAATTTACAAACACATTTTAAGTTAATCTATATACAAAACGGAAGCATGTAATATGAAGCAGAGGAAACGAAGGGCGTTTTTTTTTTACTGCTTGTTGTTGATGTTTGCGTTCAAAAGCACATATTTCATGCATATCTAGGAAGAGAACAAATTGATATCAAATCATAGATGTAAGTTCTGCAATGAATTGACCCGGATAAGCGGCTTAAAGTTCGACTGCGGTTTGAAATGGAAGTATGTTGGATAGGGACAGAAATGTTGTTCCCAAACATACCATCGTTTCTATGACAGTTCGTATAATCGAAAAAATAAACCACAAGATTAACAATCCTCAGCTTGCAACGCCTCTCCGTAGACAAAAAGAGGACTACTGGATTCGACAATTGGGAACTGCGACACCATATGGTTGCAATGATAAAATTGATGGTATAGGTATTCTATCTAGTCCTTCCTGTAGCTCGGTGAATGTGATGAATATTTTCAACTCTACTCCTCGACGTAGACGCAGTCATGGTCATCGTCATTATACATCACCTACTTTGCATGATGTCTCTATTAATGACTTGCTGTCATTTATACAAAAGCCGTTAGGTATTCATCACATTCGCACGAAACTGTATTCATTACCCCTTTCAAAACTTCATTCTCTGTTCAATTTATGTTTGGAAACCACGGTTACTAACCCTCATTCAAACCAATACAAACTTACAGCTATTATTTCGGATATTGCAAGTCACAGACTTTTCAAACCAGTTCGCATTGGAAAAGATGAAAAAGAGAAAAGATATTTTCTTAAACTTTCCTTTGCCAACAAAGGTCTCGATGGCGTCAACTTAGGCAATATCCTTCATCATAAATTAGTTCAGTCGAAAATACCTCCTTATTTTAAAGATCAGTCTGTACCAATAATTTCTTATACCTATACCAAACCAATTGCAACTAAAATTTTCAATTACAAACACGTTTTGCAGGATCTCAACATTGACGACTTCAAGTCTAAACCTCCTGATTGCACCTGTGCTAGTTCCCAATTCACATATAATCCGGCTGGCCACGTTATTACTGGAGACCTCAACATTGTCGATAACACTTCCCTGCGAAATTTGTTATCCAAAGGTCCGAAATATCGTGAGCCTAAATCCATCAATTGGAAATACAACTTCAAAATACTGATGGATTCAGTCGAGGATTATGCCAGGCAATGGGCTAAACGCGAGAAAGAAGACGTAGATACTCTTTCCGAATGGATTAAGGCTGTGAGGTTGTTGATACAAATCCGGATTAAGAAACTAAATGGGCATATCAATACCCACGCTACATCAATTTTTAAAGACCCAAATGTTGCAAAACACTTGTCCTACCTCCATGACAAATATGTTGTTGTCCCCGCAGATAAAACCCCAAACAACATCGTTTTTGTGTGTAAATATCATTACATAAACTGCTTGATAAATGAATTAGGTATTGACAATTCACTTGGAAACTCAACATATACCCTCACGACACTTACCAAAGAGGAAATCCTAGATAATCATAGGTCTGTTCTATGTTCCTTTGGAATTTCAACCAAAGACGAAGAACTGGATCTTCCATCACTGTATTGGATACCTAAACTACATAAGTGTCCTTACAAACAACGGTATATTGCTGGGTCTTCCAAGTGCTCCACGAAACCTCTTTCTAAATTATTAACATCTATTTTATCAGCAATCAAAGCCGGGCTCCAAAGTTATTGTGAAACTGCCTATTCTAGAGGTGGCGTGATTCAGATGTGGATACTAAAAAATTCCAAAGATCTTTTAGAGTACATACAATCTAAGACTCTCTCATCTTGCAATAGTATTAAAACATTTGACTTTTCTACACTTTACACAAGTATTCCCCATTCCAAACTAAAAGACAAATTGAAAGAGTTGGTATTACTGTGTTTCATTAAAAAGAATGGCGAACGTAGATACAAGTATCTTGTCTTGGGGAGGGATAAATCCTACTTTGTAAAGAATCACTCTGATTCAAACAAAAAATTCTATGAAACTGACATTATCAAGATGCTTGATTTCTTGATTGACAACATATTTGTTACGTTTGGAGGACGTGTTTTTCAACAGACTGTCGGAATTCCAATAGGAACCAATTGTGCCCCTCTTCTTGCCGACTTGTTTCTTTATTATTATGAGGTTGACTTCATACAGGAGCTTCTTAGGAAGAGAATATCCTCTAACTCTACGTTCCGCTATATAGATGATGTTCTCTCACTAAATAATACAAAATTTGGTGACTATGTTGAACGAATCTATCCCATCGAACTAGAGATAAAGGATACTACAGATACAGTTAAGTCTGCCTCATATCTTGACTTACATCTAGAAATTGACAATGAGGGTCGGTTGAAAACAAAACTTTACGACAAAAGAGATGATTTCAGCTTCCCAATTGTGAACTTTCCATTTCTATGTAGCAACATTCCAGCAGCGTCTGCATACGGAGTATATATCTCCCAATTGATACGATATTCCCGGGCTTGTGTTTCCTATCATGATTTCCTTGATAGAGGATTGCTGCTCTCAAGGAAGCTATTAAACCAAGAGTTCCAAATGGTGAAGTTGAAGTCATCCCTTCGTAAATTTTACGGACGCCATCACGAGTTGGTTGACCGTTATGGAATAACCGTTTCACAGATGATATCGGATATGTTCCTTATGTCGTAACTACAATACCCTTCCCTTTTCACGAATGTGACTTACCGAATTAGACTATTTACCGGATTTGTAATAACATAAGCAACTCGACGGGTGCCACATGTGGAGCAGGATCTGCATGCCCTTCCGGAGCACATGAGATCATCCCCAGTTTTTGGTGGGGTTCGTGTTGCTTAGTCTTTAGTTTTCTTTGTTGTGTCATCTGTACTATTATTTGTCTGTTTGTATTTTTATTTTTGGCCATGACGTTGTCAGTTTGTTTTCGATCTATGAGTTTGACTGTCCCTCTGGTATCTTTCGTCCCTCTTCTGTAGAACGGTCAAGGAGTTGTTAATGTACATAGAGCGTGGAACACTCCTTACACGATGCATCAGATTTGATATCCCCCTTCAGAAAGAATGTAAATTTTTACATCCTTCACAGCCAAATGGATTCCCCATCACAGCATTGGTTACAAAGTCATGTTTGGTTGTGATGCAAAGAATTAATATCTTCATCTTCACTGCCTCAAGGGAACTCGTGAGTCTTATGATCCCGATGAATTAAGGCGACAGTGGTTTATCGATGTTTAAATCATGGTAACCAAACAAAACCTGAGGGAATCGCATGATCTCTAAAGGAAGCAATACTGGGTATGTCGACAGGGTACGTGTCCTGTGCTATGCACGAATACCCCGCCATGCAAAGATCTGCTTCAGCCTGTTGAATGCTCTGCTATGCCATAGGGTGTAAGTCAACCTAATCAAGCTAATGGTACCTTCAATCTTTTTGGACCAAATGGAAAAGAAGATATTCATGTGCGTGCTGTTTGCGAAAACACCTGTTTTTCGAAAGTTTAGTAATATTGGAAAACATGTATTGACAGAGCTAAATATGTCATGGTCCAGGCTCACCAAATGTGGTTGTATAGCTATAAAACCAGATTTAACACCACAAATTTGTTCTATTGTTCAATACTTTCGATAGCTTAGTTTGTGTGAACATTTCATTCAATAAAACCATTTTAGGCATTTTTTAAAAATGCGTCTAAAATTTTCCACGCATTTTGTAAAATTCCGGAAAACAATAGTCAATATTTGATAATGCCTGAATCTTACAGGCATTTTAGAAAATGTCTTAAGGTTTTAGGCATTTTACAAAATGTCTTTAGGTTTTAGGCATTTTACAAAATGTCTTAAGGTTTTAGGCATTTTCCTAAAATTAAGAAAATGCCTGTAACATATGTATATTATTTTCCTGAAGCAGAAGATTTCATCCTATCTTTTTGTGTTTTGTTTGTGGTCAAAAATTTAAATTACGAATAGACAAAAAACAGCTAACAAAACATTACAAAAATCAAAAAAATGATCAACACACTCCCCCCAAAAAGTGAGTAAACTCATGTTCCCCTGAAGGATCAGTAGTTCCTGCTCCACTAGTGATGCCCGCTATGTAACTACTGTGGATTCACTTATTTTGGTGGGTACCAATTTTCGTGGGTTAAGGAAATCTAACATGTTCGTGGATATTTAATTTCGTGGTTTTGCCGAAGTTTGCATACAAGCCTATAGAAAATTTGTCATTCGTTGAACATTTTATTTCGTGGTTCACATGTACCAACGAAATCCACGAAAATTGGTATCCAACGAATGATAATGAATCCACAGTAGTATTGAAATATGATAATGAATCATTTCAGGTAAAAGTTACTTTCACATGAAATAGTAGTCATTGTAAAAAAAATATAAAAAGCTCCAGGTATTTATAGATATTTTCAATAGTGATTATGATAACAGATGAAATTCCATTTCAGATGATTTTAAAGATAGCACTATTATCAATCATCACTGCGACCTTTATTGTGACAGTAGCAGCGCAAAGTAAGTGACTGTAATAATATAAGAAAATCTGCACCAATTACATATTAAAATGAACATAGAAGATGGCAATACATGTACATGTATTCGTCAAACTAATGATATGCTGTCTTTCTCTTTTTGTCAATATAACGGCTCCTGTAATCATGATGTGTTCTGGAATATGTTATCTGCACTTTGGTCGGGTTGTTGTCTCTTTGACATATTCCCCATATCCATTCTCAATTTTATATGAACTAAAATCATTACAGCAGGTTTATTTAATTAAGCTACTAACTTTAGATATCAGTGATACTTCTTTGAAACGGTAGAATAAACATGAAATATCCTATGGATTTTTTTATATCGCACCTGTATCAACCTGAGGCACCAATATAATCCCTAGAACTCTGCTCGAAGGATTAAACTGGATGAGGGTTGATACGATGTTTGATATATAAAAAAACGAACCGTTGCGACGCAAGTTAGTCACCACTTCGGTGTTAACATGTATATAAATTATATGGTCATTTTTATATTTTATAAATTTACTGTTTGCTAAAATATGAATTATTTTAAATACTCAATATGACAGGCATTCTTATGACAGGCATATAACCTAGCCGTATTTGGCACAATTTTGTGGAATTTTCAATGCTCTTCATCTTTAGGCCTGGCACCTTTGATAACTATTAGCTTGTCGTAATGTTCTATTGTATTTTTTATTTGTGTGTTTCTCTGTCCTGTATTTTCTTCCATTTATTTGTATTGTAGTCCTGTCATTTAATGTTGTCATTTAAGTGTTATGTTTAACATTGTAATTAAAGCGGAAGGTTTGGCTGGCCACAAAACCAGATTCAACCCCCCACTTTTTCTTAAAATGTCCTGTACCAAGTCAGGAAAATGGCTATTGTTATCTTATAGTTCGTTTCTGTGTGTGTTGCATTTTAGTGTTTCTGTTGTGTCTTTGTTCTCCTCTTATATTTGATGTGTTTCCCTCAGCTTTAGTTTGTAACTCGGATTTGTTTTTTCTTAATCAATTTATGAATTTCGAACAGCGGTATACTACTGTTGCCTTTATTCGTCATTGATAAAACTGAAACCAATGTATTAAAACGACGGGATTTCTCTATGATTTTACGTTGACATAATTGAATACTTGTTTAAACCTTGGCGATGCAATTATCACCAAAACACAGTAAATGTCAACAATAACACAATTCTGATACAAATTGTTTACAAATACATGTAGTACAATCCCATATATGTTGAGTGAATATTAGTTATTCAATTAAAGGAGGTGGTCGTTTAAGTAGAATTTCCCGAGCTTTCTGCGATAATTTGAACCTTCTAAGACACTAGGCGATTTCTGCGGCTTCACCGACTTTTTCATTTTTTTTAACTTGATATAGACCATATAGAAATCCTCCTCGTTTTCGATTTTTCACTTAAAGCTTATTGATATGCGGACTTGCACTTATTTCGCGCAGATTTAGCTTTTTTATTCCGATCAAATACACCATCTATTAAATTGAATATGTAATCCGGAGCTTCTACCAATATGGTTTTTAGACACTGTGGATTCGTTATTTTTCGTTGAAAACCAATTTTCGTGGATTTCGTAGGTACAGGTGAACCACGAATTCAAATGTTCAACGAATTACACATTTTCTATAGGCTTTATATGCAGAGATTGGCAAAACCACGAAATAAATCAAATATCCACGAAAATGTAAGTTTTCCTCAATCCACGAAAATTGATACCAACGAAAATAAATGAATCCACAGCACACGGAGTTGGCTTGTCTTCCAAATAAGTAATAATATGTTAATATTTGTTATCATTTCGTTGCTCGTTCTTAACTTTTATAATGTCCTTTCCTCTATTACAAAAATCAATGTTACTTTGAGCGTCGATTTGTTTTTTAGTTGTAGACTCCGCAGAAAGTGTGCTTTTAGCACTACTAATCATATTGTTTGTACCGATTATCAGGTTGTCTGAATATTGATATTGTAAAATATCAGCTGCGAATCACAATATGAATTTTTTTGTCGAGTGAACGTAGCGAACGAGTTCAAAAAGGCTTCATATTCTGTCGAACAGCTGATATTTTACATTATCAATATGCAGACAATCAGATAATCGATTTATCAGTTTCTTTCAGCAAACCGGAAGATGACTTGATAAGTTCTGGTCATAACTATTAACGTTGGTTTATTCATTATGACGTCTTTTCGTTATCATGATTTCGAATTTCAGTATCCGATGATTGTTCAAACAAAACTTTCAATTTATCAGAAATTGAGGCAAAAAGTTAAATAAACATTGATTAAATTGCAAGTATCTTTAAGTGCAGCTACATTTAGCTGGTAAAAACTGGCATATACGACAATTGAAAATGAATATCAGTTCTTATCAGCAGTTACGAATAAAACTCCAGTCCTTTTTGCCTATTTGCCGTTTTCAATTTGTTTTCCTGAGCGATAGCACTGAGAGTAAACATGAAGCTGTGGTGCGTCAAAATTTGTGCTTTTTCTACTATCTGGCTATTATATTTCAAGCGATTGAACTACGGACTAAATCAAACTTTGAGATAATTAGCTTTCCATGATTACAGTGGCCTGTGTACATTAGAATGTGTGTATATCCATTTAAACAAAACATAAATATTCTGCCAAGACTGTTTGACTCATCGACTAATGACACAGAAATCAAAATATTTAGACTCAACAAACACTTTGAAACCAGTTGTTGGCATGATACGGAGTACGTTATTCCGTTAAATATATGATGGTATGATGCTATACCCCTAACGGGAGGGATAGTGGTTGATTTTCATATGATCAAGCCATATCCTTTCGATCAGCATAATTTAGGTCTGGAGCTGGCATGTCAATAACTGCTAGTAGTCCTTTGTTAAATTTTATTTGTGCATTGTCATTTTGCTTAATTTCTTCTGTTACCTATTCTGACATCGGACTTTGGACTTCTTTAAACTGAGTTTTACTGTGTTTATTTCTGTGTATTTGTTTATTCCACATTGGTTAGAGGCTTAGGGGGATTGACATCTCACAAACATATTTAACCCCGCAGCATTTTTACGCCTGTCCCAAGTCAGGAACCTCTAACTTTGATAGTCTTGTGTGTTTATTTAATTTTGGTTCATTAGTATGTGTGGTGTCAATTTCGCTGAATTGGTTTACATTATCGTTGAGGGGCCAGCCAAAGGCCGCCTTCGGGTGTGGGATTTTCTTGCTGCGTTGAAGACTCATTGGTGGCCTTGAGCTGTTTTCTGGTCTTTGGTCGGGTTGTTGTCTCTTTGACACATTCCCCTTTTCCATTCTCTATTTTACATGTATTTTCAGCTCACCTGGCTAAAAGGCCAAGTGAACTGTTCTCATCACTTGGCGTCCGTCGTCCGTCGTCGTCGTCGTCGTCGTCGTTTACTTTTACAACTTTTCCTCTGAACCTACTGGGCCAAATTTATCAAAAAGATAAGATCTACAAATAAATCCACATTGTCGAATCATCAGACAATTATTGGAGTTATTGCCATTTCATGAATATTTTTTCAATTTTGTGCGTTTTTGCCTAATATCGGAAAAACTATAAAAGATAGATAGAATCTTAATTATGCAAACGTGATCATCAAGACAAGATCTATCAATAAGTTTACAGTCAGGAAATCGTCTGACGGTCCCATATTGGAGTTCTTGCCCTTTGATAATAATTTTTACCATTTTATGGCGTTTTTGCCTTATATCAAAAAAACTATAATAGATTGGTGGAAACATAAATAAGCAAAATGATCAGCAAGACTTGATCTACAAATAAGTCAAATATCCGAAATCATCAGTCAACTCCTTGTAAGAGTACTTGCTCTTTACCAATATTTTACGTTTTTGCACACTATCTTGAAAACTGTAGAAGATAGATGGACACTTAAAATAGCAATAATGATCAGCAAGACAAAATCTACAAATAAGTACAATTTTGCCGAAATTGTAGGTTTTCTCTTCATAGGAGTGATTGCCTCAATTGATAATTGTTTTCCCTTTTTTTGTGCTAACAAACTAAAGGAAATAGAGAGAAACCGTAAACAAAAAACAATTAAAAAAAAAACAATTATCAGCAATACAAGATAATAGAAAAATAAAATTTTGTAATGAATTCTATTCTAGTCCACATTGGTGGCGAGAGTCCATAGTTGAAGATGCTTATAGACCTAGGTCAACGACACAGGCTCTTTAGAGCTTCTAGTTATACTAGACAGATCCCTCCACAGGAAAGTAAGCTCGAAACCGCCTCATACCGAAAAATAAGGAGTGAATTGCCCATCAAAGATATGCCAACATCCAATAACATTTTGTAAGGTTGAACATTTTCATCCTCCCTTTTTAATCTCAATTGGTTAAGTTACAAATGGTTATTTAAAACATTACAATAAAATCAGTACAGGAAAATCACTTCACTATATAATAACGGTGTAATAGAATACCATAAAGAAAGCACAAGTACAGGAAAAACAAATATAAACACTACAAGTTCATGACCGAGCTAAAAGTGCCTACCTATCGTCGGAAAATACACTCAAATATCGAGTACAGACATAAGGGTATCGATATCATAAATCAACTTTATAAATTAATCCATGTACACAATAAGGAAGACAAGATCATGTACAATCCCTAGAACAATATGCTGTAATGTTTCAATTTATATTACACGATAACTATGACACCTTTTATTTTAAACATGTTAAAGTTGTGCCATGGTTTTAACTTTAACCATGTTAACATGTATACTACCAAAAGAACATATAGGCGAGATATATCTCTCTGTCAAGTTTATTCAATTATAATAATTTCTTTGAAAACCACTGCATAGCTGATCACTACTATCTATTTGTATATATAAGATGTTTCTTATTTAGGGGACGACCATTTGATATTCTGGGGTGAGAAGGAGGATTTTTTCCGTTCTTCCCAGGCCAAGTTATTTATTTTTTTAAAGGAATGTGTTTACTTAAATTGATAAAAGTATTCACGGGTGATTTGATAAAAGTATTCGTTTTCATGTAATAGTTAGTCACTTAAACCTATAAATTACTTGAGCTTGAAGATGTTACATTTAGGTTACTTTGATACGATTTTAATCACTAATCATAACAGATATTGATTTTGAATTTTGTTATCTCCCCCACCCCTCCCCCCAAAAAAAGAAGACTGGACAGAGAATACGGAAATGATTTAGCATGAGTATTACACTTAGAGACGTCGCAAGTTACTAGACTACAGTATCTTCGAAAAAAACGTCCTCTCCTTATTCTAAAAATGTTTCAGTATTAATGTAAAAATGTATTGATAACATGCGGTATATCAAAATAATCCTTATTTATCTTCTTTCTTAATATTGCAAGTATTATGCAGAGCAAGTGAGAAAAGCTCGTGAAAATGGTTATTTGTGTCCTGTCCCGCGTTACATTTTGCATGATACTAGTCGACATAAAACGAGTGTCGCGGATTCTTTTTTCCGCGAAGTAGCTCCATTTTGTTTTCCCGTTCATAAACGCCTTAACACCTTCATAGCACACTTGATGTTTCCCTTCAAAAGCGGATAGAGTAGAAAAATATGGGAATCAGATGACGCATGAGGTCTGTCCCGCATCAATTAACTTTGCGAAATTTAACATTATACCAGATTTAAAGATAAAAATGCTTGGAGAGTTGTCTCATTGGCACTCATACCACATCTTCCTGTTGATATTTATCGAAAATTATCGCAAGTATGATTTTTTTATACCAAAAAATGTACATTTACTGTACATTTTCTCACTATGAAAAATTAAACGAAACCTGTGTTACGAGATTTGTATGAAATACATATATAGATGTCTAAGGAATTGTCGCCTTAACACAAATGTACGTCGCTGCCTTTCATTTGTATTCTCAGTGCCAGAAAACTTGAGTATGCATTCAACAAGATATATGATTCAAATTTGCACAAGACTTGAAAAGTACAAATACTCAAGTACGTATTGGTACATATATGTTGATAGTGCGCTACAGAATACAAAAGTCATTTGATCTCTTGTGGAGATTTGTCGCATTGGCAATCATATCACATCGTTTTATCTTTATAAAACAGTTATTATACATGCTGCATCGGTTGCTTTTATCTGTTGACGGAAACAATGACTTCTCTTTACCCGTGTCTTTACGTTTAGACATTTTAGAAAGTCTCAGTGATTGCATGTAGACCATAACCAAAGTCTGTAAAAAGTGCATCATACCTCAAATATTATACAATTGCTTTATTTAGAGAAAGAAACGTTAACTAAATATTCTGAAGAAAATCTGTTCTTTACGTTTCTTTAAAAAATCAAAAACGTCGTATGCTTGTTACGGTACGTGACACAAGTATCTTGCGAAGTCTCCTTAGAGTATGCAAAGTACAAAATTTAACCGAAAGGAACATTTGCTTGAATATTTTAAAGAACCTGATGCATCTCGGTCGGTGTGATTAGAAGTTGTCTAACAAGTTGTTTCAAAAAGTAATTGTTTGAAGAGTTTTACTTACTATTTTCGTATAGTCTGCTCTTATGGGATCTATTTCACGATTACTAACAGATAAATACGACAAATATATTTATATAGTAAGACGTTGTAACCATTCGTTTGATGTGTTTGAGCTTTTGATTTTGTTATTTGCCTAGGGACTTTCCGTTCAGTATTTTTGTTATTTTACTTTATTTTAAAAAAATGTCGAATTTTGAGTATTGCAAAATTGAATAAACGTTGCTAATTTAAACCACCCTCTTCATAAGCAAATCAAAGCAAACAATACTTATGGAACAACATAAACATTGCAAAAGATGCAATCTTAATAATGTCATACAAAAATATATGGAAACATTTTTGATAGGTGGTGCAATATTTTGTCTCTCCTGTTACCATGTTGAAAAGATATTTTGAGTTATTTAGAAAAGATTTCGATAGCATTTTAAACTTGTTTTTCGTGGTCAATTATATAGTTTCAAGAGTAAAAACTTCTATATATTATCATTCTGTGTAATGATAGATTATTTGTCAATTTCCCGTGTTGTACTGAAAAATACCTCTAAAAATTGGTTTTCAAAAGTTATAAAACTAACCACTAGCAACGCTAGTCTAAGAAAGCAATTCATAATGTTCAGAATTTGTTCTCTTTCTAATAAATCCAACATCAAGTAATTCCTTAGCATGTTGGTTTACTTTTGTCGTTTTTTTTTTTTTTGGTAACAGGAACGTTCGTTAACGATATATCACCATATTAAGTTCTATCCTATTACCATTATTGTCTATCCTGTTACCGATAACAGTTTAGCTTTTTGTTTATGCTAAATTGCGAAGATTAGGACGTTGTTACCTTTAAATGATTTCAAACCACCAAACATTTCAGTATGTGTAAAATTTTATTTAATTAATATATACTTTTCAAAGACGTTTCAGTCAAATATTGTCTATCCTGTTACTGTAACCATAGTAAATTAGCAGGATAGACAAAATTATTTCTTCATTTATGAATTCTGTTGTGAAATAACTACTCCCTCTGATGCAGTGTAAATGTTTTTCTGTTGTAAATTTGGTTTCCAACACATAATTGCACTTTTTACAAGTATAATATTGTGGTAACTTACATATGTGTTGGTAACAGCATAGACATGATAAAAGGGTACCCACTATTTTTTTCACTAAGTGTCTTATATTTTCTTTTCTCTACACTGTTTTGAAAGAAAAGTGCTGTGTTAAATTTTTGGGATGCTTCGTACTTATGAAATCATCGCTGAATAGTTCATTATTCAGAGGGAAAAACACTGATGCTCGATTCAAACAAGACAAAAACACCAGCAAAACAAAGTACGAAAGTAAAGAGCATTGAGAACAATCTCTTTTTTGTGTAACTGTGTATTGCGACCTATACTATCGGTGTCATTCCCTGATGTTGATGTTGTGTCACAAATGACGTACATTTGTTACCAGACAATTCAGACAATTTTGACAATAAACACTTGACACCTGGGTGTCAAACATACTGTTTATTAATATCTGCATTCTCAATCAAAGCCTGAGATTATGAATAATCTGCGTATTTCAAACTCGTAAGCAATAAGCAACTTTGGGTCTTCAATGCTCTTCAACTTCTTACTTTATTTTGCCCCTTTAACCTTTTTGATTGGAGCGTCAATGATGAGTATTTTGTTGACGAAACACGCGTCTAGCGTACAAAATTTCAATCCTGGTATTTATTATGAGTTTATTTGCAATTCAAATTTCGAGTTACTACCCTTGATCTACCTTGTTTTACAAATGATTCCCTTCAAAACAATGTTAATGGTTAAAGATAAAAAAAAAATAAAATAAAAGCAAATTAAATGCAGTTACATGTATATTGGAATGTTTCTGAAATGATTTTCACTTTCAGAGAACAAAAATGCAGAAGTGAAATTTATTTTATACATCGCCACGTCTTTAAATGCTAGAACTGTAATGGATAAGACTTTAATTAAACTATCAAAATTGAATAGATACCAAATATACTACAACCTTCCAGAGTTTTTATAATAACTACTTACGATAAATTATGAAAGTACGTATAGGTGTAGAGAAAAACTTTAATCCAATAGTATGATTTAACAGGTCATACATTTGCCCTTCAATCAGACTACCTAACGAACAACGGTCGTCAGCTCTCCAAATTGTGCACAGCTCTCCCAATTGTTTCACAGGAGATAATTGAAAATTGATACTAACGACAAATGCCAACAGTTGAAAATACATAGGACTACCTTTTTAGTCATTCAACTTAATATACAAAATCCCATGATATTTTACATTTGTACTATTTCTTCTACAGTAAATCTTGCATCACAAGGGTTAGCCTTACAACGCACAACTTTTCCAGGACGTTTTGCAAGGCTTGCAATAGAAGGACCTGCAAATAATAAGAAGGCTGACGGATGCGCTAATACAGATAAAGATCAGATTTACGCTTGGTGGGGCCTACAACTTCCAGCAGTTGCCCATATGACAAACATTGTGATCTACTTCCGAGAAGATTGTAAGTTATAATCGATTTAATCAAATGGTGATTTTAAAGCATACACGTACAAACTCCAGAAGCAATAAATTTGTATTGATTTCAACATCAGATAATGTTTTTTTTCAATACATATAAACTGTACATAGATATAAGAAGATATGGTATGAGTAACAATGAGACTACTCTCTATCCAAGTCACAATTTGTAAAAGTAAACCATTATAGGTCAAAGTACGGCCTTCAAAACGGACCATTGGCTCACACCGAACAACAAGCTCTAAAGGGCCCCAGAAATGATTAGTGTAAAACCATTCAAACAGGAAAACCAATGGTCTAATCTAAATAAAAAACGAGAAACGAGAAACACTTATGAACCACATCAACAAACGACAACCACTGAACATCAGGTTCCTGACTTCTGACAGGTGCAAACAAATGTAGCGGGTTTTAATAGGCGCCAACCTTCACCCTACCTACCTATTTTGCATTGAATCATGTACAAAGAGAACGTTTGTATACTTTCAGTTCAAAACATCAACCAAATACAAAAACAATTCGTAAAAAGGCTCAAAACTATAATTTTCTTCTGACAATTTACCCACAGGCTGATACGTTTTTTTTTCTGTATTGGACCGAGCCGAAAAGCTGTAGTAATATCAACAGGGCGACGGCATCAGTATTACACATGCTGATTTATTCGTATTTTAAAAGGCTGATTTCATCATATTATATAAAAAAATACAATATTGATTCAAAACATCCTTCACAAGCAATTGTAAGACTTTTCCATTGTATGTATAAGCATATGATTGTTTAAAATCCTTTAATTATATTATAAACCTTATACTATTCGGTTTATTCCCGATTATCCCACTTTTTAAAATTAAGGAGTTCTGATTGTCCCACATGACAGGTTCTGATTGTCCCACATTATTTTATGAAGTAAAATGTTCTAAGATAAACCAGGTAACTGTTGTTTGTTTTGCCAAATAAACAAGAATTAATTATTGCATGTTCAAACTATTGTTTAGTATTGATTTAATAAGAAGTAAAAAATATTATTTTTCATATAATTATCATGATTATTGCACTTTTGATTATATCATATAATATTTCTGATGTATGCAATATATCTACAATGTTACGTGTATTTATAAAACAAATGTCAATACTGTAATTTTAATTACATTTTCTCTAAAGTTTTTAAATTAATCTAGAAATAATGCATGCAATTTTAAAAAAAAGTAGAAACTCAATTACAATCTACACTCTACATGCACCCATTTGTTGATGGTGAGATGTTGCAACTAGTCTTTGCAATTTTACCAGGGAAGCAACATCAGATTCACTTGAACCCAGCAACTTTCTTTATTTATAACGAAGCTGCTGTCCAGAATTCTGCCAGATCAGCCTTTCCAATAATCACTATTAAAGGTTGTTTTTCCAATATACCAAGTGTGTTTGCCGTAAAGTGCAGTCAACATGACTCAACTTATACGCAGGGCAGCAGTTCTCCCACTGGTACCACATGCAGAAATAGAAGACGTCTGTTTCCATCCACTTAAAACCTGGAAATTTCGGACAAAACAGGAAGTAACACTCCGTTTTCGTACTATGTCACAATATCCTGGGTAGCTATGAAGTTATTACCAAAACCTAAGGATCAAGGACGACAATCCTCCTCAAACACAATTATACACGCTACTGAACTACCTTAAATAAGAGCAGGCAGCAAACGAAATGACCATCATTCAGTATACCAAGCCGAGGGTATGACCAACAAAGAGAAGAAAAAATGCACACAAATCAACAAACGCCTACAAGAACTCAAAGATTGTCTTCACTTCAGAATGGTGAAGATAGTGTGTTTCAGTATGCTAACATTGCCTCTTATTTGCTACACTTGGACATAATTAGTTGCTACTATATGATGTGTTGTGATGTCTATATTATGAAATATGCATGGAAAAGACTTTATCAATCTGAACAAGAAGGATGCATGATCTTTACACTTAAGAATTGAAAGGTTGGTTTTTTAAATTTATTAGAATTGCATGATGACTGAGGCCAATCAGCAAATATTACACGAACATTCAGGACGGTGATACTATTTATACGCTATTTAGATTTTTTTTTTAAAGTTCACACCCTAATTCGAGGTTTAGAAGGCCATCTTATGAGTCACCAGGAAGCAGTACAAAAAAAGATGTCTCAATAATTGGTGGTTTATTTTGTTGGTTTCGACTTTGCGTGATGGCAATAAAATATTTTGATAAGCATTCATAACCATGAACTTGTTAGACCTTTTTTATTTTCAAGCAGTAAAGCATCGAAACTTAATTTTTGGCAGCATGGTAGATCAACCACAGAAATAGTCCAAAAAACAGGCGCTTGAGAAAAATGTATCTTTCCTCCATTTAAAAAAAAAGGAGGAAGGGATCTCTTTGAAAGCTAAGAATCTACTTACACTTTCTATTAATTGTACAATCTGACAACTCTGAATTTTGATTGTGATTAAATATTTTACATATCATAGGTTGCTGACACGACGTTATTAAGCTAAGACGAGGTCTATATAAGCTTCTGCATATACTTGCTTTCGCTATGTTCTTAACACGTATCTACAGTACAAAAAGAACGCATTAAATAATTGTAAATAATTTTTAAAAAGGAAGACTAAAGGCCAATTCCCCACTGAATGTATTTCACACCATGGCCATTTTTAAAAAAGTATATCAACCTTTAACTAAACTCTTAGTACATGTATTGCAACCCAATGTATGTGTTCTAAGGTTCTAACAATATAATAAGTAATTCCTAAACAGATTACAGAACTTTGAATGCCTAAAGAGTCTACAGATAATCCAAACGGGAAAAATTTTGAAAGATTTTGGCAACGTTTAAGTATGTTTCGTCAAAATGAATTATAAAAATATAGTAAACCAAACCAAAACTCCATAAACCAAAACTCCATAAAATGAATATAAACATAGTGAAGCTATTATATGTATTGTCTTTCGGATACAAATTAATTCATTTTGGTTAGCGTCGCCTGCCGATGTAAAAGTCAAAAACATTTTTAAAAAGTAGAGCCGATTACCCCTTGATTTATTTCAAACCAGGGCCATTTACAAAAAGTCTATCACTCTTAAAGTTTACTTAGGTTCATAGAACCACATCCCAAAGTGTACACTCTAAGGGTTTTACTATATAATCGCTTTATTCTAAACGTGTCGCCATCTTATAAACGCCTAAAGATAGCTCAAAATCGCGATTCTTGCAAATTTGTGCTTTTGAGTATTCATTTCTAAAACGTATAAGAAGGTCATCGTTAACCAAAACTAAAATTGTGTTAGAAGTAAAGCTATGTTTTGTCTTTCGGACACTAATTCATTTTGGCTATCGAAGTCCCTCGATGCAAAATATGACTAAAACATATAAAATTGTATCTTCAACAGCATGCAACATGTAACGCTGAATTGCATTTTGAGTTTATGGAAATTTATGTGTAAAATTGGTAAAATAAAATTTAGAATTGAAATGGGGAATGTGTCAAAGAGACAACAACCCGACCAAAGAGCAGAAAACAGCCCAAGGCCACCAATGGGTCTTCAACACAGCGAAAAAATCCCGAACCTGGAGGCGGGCATTAGGTGGCACATAAACACATGTGTGTTATTTCAGTGAAAATGGACGTCACACTTAACTCCGAAACATATAAATGAACTTTAATTATAAAAAAAATATGTTAAATATATAATATAAACATTAAAGACCCTGTGAATGAAAAAAAAATAATGAGAATTAGGCTCTTACCCTTTGCAATTTTGTATAACAATGCCTTCAACAGAAACATATAGCACTGAATAGTATTTTGATTTCAGGAGAATAAGTTAAACTTTGACACAAAATACATGTATATAAGTTACAACTTCATCTTCAATTTTCAATGTGCAGACCAATTTTAGATTTTGACCTTATGAGTGAAATGAGTCCAGGGAAAATTGGCCTTGTCGCTTTCAAAGAGACCCCCCCCCCCCCCTTTCCTAAAAAATGGGGGAAAGCCACATTTTTCTCAAGCGCCTGTGCTTTTGGCTATTTCTATGGTTGATCTAACATGCTGCCAACAATTAAGTTTCGATGCTTTTCTGCTTGAAAATAAAAATGGTCCAACAAGTTCATGGTTATGAATGATTATCAAAATATTTGTATTGCCATCACGCAAAGTCAAAACCAACAACATAAACCACCAATTATTGAGACATCTTCTTTTGGACTGCTTCCTGGTGACATATAAGATGGCCTACTAAACCTCGACTTGGGGTTTGAACTTTTTTTTTAATAATCTAAATAGCGTATACCTATTATTACCGTCTTGAATGTTCGTGTAGTATTTGCTGATTAGCCTCAGTCATCATGCAATTATAATAGATTTAGATAACCAACCTTTCAGTTCTGAAGTGTAAAGATCATGCATCCTTTTTGTTAAGATTGATAAAGTCTTTTCCATTCGTCGACATTATCTTCGATTTAAATACTATTGATCTGATAACCGCTGTGCATACTTTAACGACAGGGCTAGTTTTCTTATCACATAAGTTGTAACCTTTCTTGTTAATGTGATGTTGTAATCAATCGTTTTATGTTTTACCATCTGTATATAATATTTCATTGTACTATTCAAATTTGTGATTCATTTATTATTTTGATATAATAATTTTTTTTTTATTCAAGATGAAAACAAGGAAATTTGAAAGAAAAACATTGTACTATGTAAATCGAGAATTGAATAGAACAAAATACAGGAATTGAAATTAAATGTTGATTTTTTTTTCTTGTTTGCTGAAATCAAAAACGAAAAACGAAAACACTTTTGTTTTTCATTTTGGTTTTTGTGAAATCGAAAGCAAAAAATGAAAACACTTTCGTTTTTCGTTTTTTGTTTTTGATATCTCAAAACGAAAAATCAATGGACGCAAATATACACGGACCATACTATGTGTAAAATAAAA